GGTCAGCAGCTCGGGCAGAAGAGGGCCGGAGGGGAGGGGGTGCCAGAGTTTTTTGTCTTGAGCCCCAAGCCAAAATACACCCCTGGCTGTCAGACTGCAATGTCTCTGACAGCTCTAGTCTAACCAATCATTGTGGTTCCCAATCATGTGATTTACTATGACAGCCAGTCACAGTAATCACATGCAGTCTTGAGTATTGTCTTGAAATTAAACCTCTTCAGCCTGCCGGTGGCAATGTGCCTCTGTTTAAAACTGTATTTGTGCAGCTGCATCAGGCACATGCAAATGTAACAGCACAAAGACTAGGTGCTGCTCTTGGTGGACACTGCCATGGTTCTGCATTATTCCCACTCGGGACTGTCTGTGTGGCTTTTTTTCCATTCAGTTTCCTTCTCATCCAAAAAACATAAATGAACCGGCTTCTGTCCATTGTTGGCCTAGTGTGTCTTTATCAGGCACCTGTAAAGTGCTATAGAGTTTGTATAGATACGATGAAGACTGTCAGTAAATGGGTGCAGTGGATGGAACGGGGGTGGGTACGTGAAGTAAATGAGGGGACAGATGGTTAAGGAATGCAGTAGAATTCTCTGATAAGAGTACGATTTATTGAAGGCTGATTGGGGTACAGGGGACATGACGGAGCACCAATGAAAATGCACATTAATCATTTTTTTTCTTTCAGATTCATGCACAAAAGTCCAGAGGATCCTTCGGAGGTGCCCGGTGGATTTTTAAGTGATGTAAATACTGTAAGTATAAAACCTACAAAAGTGTGGGATGAGTTTTGTGGGCCGCTTGAAAAAGGCAGCACAGAGCGCACAATACAGGAGTAGGAATTCAAGTGGCACACCATATAAAATGCTCAGAAATCTGATTCTTTTGTAAGACTAAAACCTGGTACAGAACCTGTATGGGGATCTGGGGGATAGATGTGAAATGAAATGTTATACTAGCCTCATCCACATAGCCAGACATTTATTCTGTGACACATGAAATGATGATAACCTATTTGTTTCCACAGGACTCTTTGACTGTTATATCTGACGCTCTGGTGGATCAGTCTGTAAAGAATTGCCAAGTGTTTGAGAAGTACCAGTTTGAAAGGCTGGGCTATTTCTCTGTGGATCCAGACACCACTCCGGAGAAGGTCAGTGTGCTCTGTGCATCATAAAGGACAAAGTGACATGAAACGGGAACAGGTCCTGCTCTTTGTTTGACTAGTAGTAGGGGCCAGGACCAAAAGCGATGCAATATGGAGGAGGGAGAAGTGCAGCGTAGAGGGATAGACTGTCTCGCTGCCATACTCCTGACCCAGAATATGGGTACAGTGACTAGGGGGTATGAAAGGTATAGCTGGTCATGCTTATTCAAGCAGGTAAAATGCTTTAAACCCATAGCAACCTATCTGGAATATTTTCTTTCATTGATCTTACCGTGCTAGGAAGGAATCTGATTCTTTTTATTAGTCTGTCGAGGCAGCTTGGTTTTTAAATGTAAAGAGAGAGAGAACACACCATCTGGGTCCAAAAGTTGTACATAGTTGGGATCACAGAAAATTGTTACTCTTTCCTGTGAGAGGGGGGGTCAGCGACTTTCTGACAAT